TCCTTTTTAACTTCTCTCTCTATTCTTGCCTCCAACTCTATCACCCTTTCCTCCAGTCTTTCTATCTTTTTTTCCCATTTCTTTCTTTCTTCTCTCCATTCCCCCTCCTTTTTCATATTTCAATCTTCAATTTTCTTTTTCCTCACCCAACTTCTCTGTAATCTTCTTTCCTATCTCCTCCATCATCCTCTTTAACTCCTCCTTTTTCTATCCCCCCTACTTCTCTGTTCAGCCTTTCTGTTTTTTTGCTCCTTCTCAGACTTCTTTCCTCTTCATCCTTATCCTCCTCTCCCCCTTCTTCCCGTTTCCTTTTCAAGAAATCCTCTATACATCCCATACTGCTCCTCCTCTCTTTCGCTAACTCATCTACTCTTCTCGGCCTCCCTGCCTTCTTTTTACTTCCTCCTCATCTCCCTTCTTTCCCCCTTCCTCAACCATCCTATCTCTAGTAGTCTCTATCCTCCTATCTCTACTATTCTCTTCACTACCATTCTTTTCCTCCTTATTCATTTCCTCTTATCGCTTTCTTTCTTGATTCACTTACTCTATGTTCTAATTCGCTCCAACTCGCTAGTGAATTCCCTAGTGAATTCCCTATTGAATTCCCTATCTTTCTATCTGCACCTGCTCTCTACACCTACTCTCTTTCTTCCACGTGTCTACGTGTCCACGTGTCTCACCTTTTCCTGCTTTCTATTTTCTAACTCTTACAATCCTTATAATATCATATCCTTTCAATCTATCCTCCTCTTTTTCCTACGCCCTCTCACCTCCTATCTCCTATTCTCCTCACCCCTTTTCTCACTCTTTCCTCACAAATACCTGCCACGCTTTCACACACCTGTCACTCACACTCTCACCGGAACCGGAAGCCAATATTAGTAGAGATATACAGTAATTTAAGTATTTAAATTACTGTATATCAGTAATTTAAGTACTCGACTGTATACCAATAGAGATATACAATAATTTAAGTACTTAAATTACTGTATATCAGTAATTTAAATACTAGAAACAAGTGATTAATTGGACTTACTAATGATAAATTCCTATAAGGGTTGGTGCGCATTATTCTTTTATTGGTTTGCGTATCAAAAAATGTACAATGTAAACTAAACCAATCAACATAAATTAAATTCGTATCATTTTTTTCTTTAGTACATTCGATGTAAACAAACGCATCCATATTAAAGCTTTGGTGCGCACTAAATTTAATGTGCGTATCAACGTTCCGATTATGTCAACTAAGCTATAAATAAAATATAGAAAAAAATAATGAAAAAATAAGAAAAAATAATAAGTAGAATAATTAAAAAATAATTTCTTTGCATCAGTTTTCTTTAATTAAAATATAAAATTTGAAGAAATGAGAAAAATATATACTCATTTATATATATATATATATATATATATATATATATATATTATATAAATGTATATGTATATAATTTCATATATTTTTAAAATTCATAAAATAATATATCTTTACATCATCTTCATATCATGACTTCTCTGTTTTCAAAATATTGTAGAACATGTTATTACCATGCACATTTTTAAAAATTTAATTTTAATTTCATTATTTTCATTAAAGTAATACTCAAATGGAAAACTTTGAAGTTGATTTTCTCAAAATAGCATTTTAGCATATATATGCCCTGTTTCCATGAGTGGCCTCAATTATATATAATTATATATTTAAATATTTGATTTTATATAAAATTTTGTATAGAATATATATTAATTTTTTCTTTCTTAATAATGATTAACTGTGTTTATTTTATATTAGTTTCTTTGTATACAATTTTTATATACTTCTATTTATTGTAATTTTTTTTTAACAACGTTATACATGTATTTTATATGTATATATATATATATATATATATATATATGTGTGTGTGTAATTCAATATAAAACAGTTATATTCAAAATCCAAAAGAGAGGAAAGAAATATTTTAAGAGTGCAATCAAAAACAAAACTCGTTTTTCGTTTATGAAGGTTGGTAATCCTGCACGAGTAATTCGACGCGGAGGATTTAAAAAATTTTATATATCTACTGGTAGCGCGAGATCAGGTCTCTGCAGTTGCTCGCTAGTTGCCCGCTAGTTGCGTCAGAAAACAGTCGCCTCTGTCATTGAATACACGCCGCACGAATTCTTTTTCATTGGAAGAATATAGTAATATATACAAGTGAGTAAAGCAAAAATCCGTTCATCTACTGTGCATTCATCTACTCCATCTCATAATCACCTCTCGCAAAATAAAAATCAAACCTATTTCGATATCGATATATAAACGTCATATTAGATTGATCGAATATACATTCACTTTTTCCTTATGCGATTTTTGTACTGCAAACGAAAAAAAAAACTAACACACTAACTTCATCTATCTATTACATTACGTCTTATTTGATAACGCATTTTTTCCTCATCTTACTTAGCTTTTTCGTATACGAATATATTTTCAAATGCGATTTATTCAATTGTCGCGTATTAAAAACGCGATTTAATGCATTGTGTTACAATTTTTTTTGTACCTCGAACTTTTACAATTTCTTAGAGATTACGGTTAATTAATAGAAAAATACTGTTTTAAGATAAATCAAAATCAATAAGTCTAAATCGTTTGATCAGTTTTTCTTTTTTTATTAATATTATGCATTTCAATTTTCTTTCGTCGATTATCGAGATCCAATAGAATTAAGTTTGTTACAAACCTTAAATTTGTTTTTTATTGCATTATATATATTATATACTTTTGACATTTAAAGTAATTTATATTCAAATGCTGATATTGGAGGAAAAAAAATATTGAAAAATTACAGATAAAAGTTTAAAAACGAAAAAGTTTATGTTAATATTAAAATTTTTTTATAACAAATCTATTTTCTATTAAATTTTAGATATTTATGCTTTTTGAGCATTTTTATATATTTTATTCTCTCTCTGTATTTCATTGTTACATTTTTTAATTAAAAATTTCAAATAATCTAATTTTTCTGTGTCTTATTATTAGTCAATAAAATCGATATTTTCAACTTTTAATTTTAAAAAAAAGTATGATTCTAAAAATAATTGTAAATATTATATAGTATATGGAATTAATAAAATTCTTATAATGCTCTTGTTAATTTATAAAATTCTTATTTTTTTTTTTATGTTAATCTTTGATCTTATATTGCTGAAATACAAAATCTTTGTAATCTGCAAATTTAATCGCAGAAAGTAATTTAATGCAGTAAAAGAATTGATGGATTTTCAAGACTTGTTTATGTACATCTGCTACTTATATAAAGGATAAAACAGATCTGTGGCACTTGAAACACACATGGCTTGATGGCTATAATGGCCCACATGGTTTCTTGAAGGAACGCTTATTTACGTGTTTATAAATAGCTACACGCATCTCATTCTTTCATCGCATCCATAAAAGAAAGCCTTTGAGTTGCACTGCAGCTTAAGAGAAGTTAGTAGGTAATAAATATATATTATATATTCAATGAAAAAATCTTGTATTTATCTAACTTTTGTTTAAGCAAATTAATATTTAAATTTAAAAACATTTATAACATCAAAGATAATGTATACACTACTAAAAAAAAGAAAAAATAGAGAACATTTTTCATACCCTAAAAATTATGCCATTTTCAAATTGTTAAAATTTGACGGAAATTCATCGTGGACTAAAAATTAAAAAAGCATTTTAAAGCTTGAAGTTACAACTTTAATACTATCATCATTGGTGATTTTAAAACATATTTTTATCTCTTTTTGTGCTTTAAAAAAGAATACTTTTTTTTGAGTTACGTTCGTGATTTTAAAAGTAACCTATATTTTTCAGATACAATATTGATACTCGGCGAAAAATCATTATAGACAAAAAATAAAAGAATATTTTAAAGCTTGCAATGTTAATTTTAATTCGTTATTGGTAATTTTTAAAAATCTTTTTATTTTCCCTGTTCTGAAAAATTACAGATTTAGTTACAAAATCGTATAAATTCGATCAAAAAAATCATTAAAAATTTTTAAAATAACATTTTGTAAGCAAAATATTATAGTTTATGAAACTTGAGTTAAATTTTCAAGAGAAATTCTTTTATCGAGCTGCAGAGTGTCAAAAAATAAATAATTTTAAGAAGTAAAACAATATATTCTTCTTTAAAGCACAGAAAAGAAAAGATAAACAATTTTTAAAAATCACTCATTCCGCGTTAAAGTTAAAACTTCAAACTTCAAAATTTTTGTTAGATTTAATATAATGATTTTTTATTCCGAATTTCAGCAGTTTAAAAAAAGTCTAATTTTTGGGATATAAAATATTCTTTTTTTTTTTAGTAATTATATAATCGACATTAAAAGTTAGTTCTTATAAAAGAAGAGAAATTTTAGAAAGCAATAAGAACTTAATATTTTATTTTTAATTAATTTTTGTATTAAAAAAAAGATTAATATTTTATGTTATTCAAGATATGGATATTTAAAAATATATATATTATTTATAAATTTTTTAAATAAAAATAATAATATTAATGAAACAATCTAATGTTTGTAAATGTCTAAGAAAACTAAATTAATTGGATTTTAGTTAATATTAGAATTTTTATATCATTAATTATAATATGTGTTTTAGTAAATTGTATTCAAAATTGCGATATTTAAATATATCATGCATATAGTTATAAAATCTTTAACAAAATAGTAAACTTAACAAATTAACCTATATATAACCATCATAATTAATATATATTTATATATATGTATATAATTAATTAAATAAATTGAGAAACATGTTTTTATATATGTTAAAATACAAAGTACATCACTGTCTTTTACGTGATTACAACTGATGATTATGAATAATTTATTATGAGTGATTCCTCTCTCTCTATATTTTCTTGAGGTCATCATGGGTGACTTGCGTACTTCTTATCTCAAAGTAAAAGTTCATTCAATTAGATGCATAGGGAGATATTTTATAGCATACAGTATAGAAGTACTAGACATCTTTGTTTGTGTTTGGCATAATTTCATTGATTTTATAGTCTTCTTAATTTGTATCAGATTTTCTCAACATTGAGAATTTTTTTGACCAATATAATAACATCATAATATCAAGTAAAAACACTAATACATATATTATTATATATATATATATATATATATATATATACATATATAGATTACAGTACTTTGGACGAGCAAAAATAACAAGACAATGAGACTGTTCATTCTTTTGGTGCTCTTATATTGTTTTTGTACCAATATTGGTCACACCAGGGAGATAACGTATGTAATTTATTAATTATATAATTTACAAGTTGATACTTTTTTGAATATACTCTTCTTTCTTCAAATTTAGAGTTTTCAATATTGCATTTATCTATATATTCCATAAATAATTACATTAATTTTTATAGACACGAAGATATTAAAGATGCTATGTTAAGCTTAGTACATATGATGCGAGAGAATACAGAAAAACTCGAGAGACATGAAGCAAGAGAGCGGCAGCTGGGCGAGCAATTAAAGAAAACCATAACCATCCTAACGAAACGTATATCCGCTGTGGATGCTCTGAAACTGCAGCTAAATAAATTGGAGGAAAGAATTTCAGAATGGAGCATCTGTTTGCCCAGGTGTGTGTGATCATCTATTTTGAAATACTAATACGCATCAATATAGTGTGACTTTCAGAGATGTGCATTATTGAAATAGATACATTTGAAATAGAAATGCAAAAAAATATCTATTTTGCACTTCAAATACATAGTTTTACAAAAACTATATTTTTCTCTGCAACTATATATTAGGTTGTTCGAAAAACAATTTTATTTTTTTTTGCATGAAAATAAAAGATGATACAACTAGTGATAGATAAAAAGGCCAACTTATCGAGCAATTATTAGAGTTGTTCTGTCAAATAAAATTTATTTTATGTATAAATTAAACATAAAACATTATGTGAAAACTACAAACATTCTATACTCAAACTTAAGCGAAAATTACAATCATTATAAAATAAACGTTTCAACCGCACGCGGTCTTCCTTAGTATTATATTACAGTAATTATTAAAAAATACAAATTCATACAAAAATTCCACATAATATCGGAAATTAATGTTAGTTCTTCAATAAGAGTCGAGAATTTATAAACAATTAAAGCGTGTTTTGATCCATCATATCCAACAAATGTTCGCCTCGATATGATCTTTGATTTTAATCAAATCTCGAAAAGTTTCTCAAAGTTTGAAATAAAGTGTCTTTTTATATTGTTGGTCTTGTCTTGTGTCATCTTCAATAACTTTTTCAAAAATAACATGGTTAAATTGTCAAGAAGGACGATGTCAACGCCTACGGAACGTATTAAAGTTCTTGCATATTAACGATGAAACTTTTCGAGATTTGATTAATATCAAAGATCATATCGAGGCGAACATTTGTTGGATATGACGGATCGAAACACGCTTTAATTGCTTATAAATTCTTGACTCTTATTGAAAAATTAACATTAATTTCCGATATTATGTGGAATTTTTGTATGAATTTGTATTTTTTAATAATTACTGTAATATAATACTGAGGAAGACCGCGTGCGGTTGAAACGTTTATTTTATAATGATTGTAATTTTCGCTTAAGTTTGAGTATAGAATGTTTGTAGCTTTCACATAATGTTTTATGTTTAGTTTATACATGAAATAAATTTTATTTGACAGAACAACTCTAATAATTGCTCGATAAGTTGGCCTTTTTATCTATCACTAGTTGTATTTACAATATACGAGCAAAGCTTTGTATTAATTGATTTTATAAAAGATGATATTTTTATAAAAAAAGAGTTTTATTCAATTAAATATTCACCATTTTATTCCAACACCTTTTGTCATCTTTGAGGCAATATATGACAATTTGCATCTACGAATGCCTTTATTTGGTCTTCATTAGCCTCAACTGGCCTTCCAGAATATGATGCATTTTTAAGATTGAAATAACCAGAACGAATTAAAACAATGTGATAATCAAGCTCGTATCAAAGAAAATTAATACAATAGGAAAAGGCTTTTACATGAGCAAATATGGTTGACTATGTAAAATTACTGTATTTAAATATAAAAATTACATATTCAACCTACAAGTCGATAAAGAATAACACACTATTATTTCCGAACATTAATTATTTCCGAGCATCGAAATTAATACGAAGAACATGGACATATTAGTATATATTACATTTGCTAACAAGACAACTATATAGCTTTAAGATGAAATTTATAGACTGTTATTATATGTAATTGTTTGAATTCAGCGATTGAGAAGTCACAAGTAAGTGACGAAACGTTTTGCACGAATTTATTGTAATTTTTATATTCAAATACTGTAATTTTACATAGTCAACCATATTTGCTCGTGTAAAAGCCTTTTCCTATTGTATTAACCAGAACGAAATTTTGAAAACCAATTTTGACACTGACATTCAGTCAACACATCCTGTTCATACATGGCGCACAATATTTTTCTTGCTTGCGTCATACTTTACGGTAATAAAAAAGCAAAATTTGACGAAAATGCTCATGTTGGTTTTCCATTTTTTATGCAACACCAAACAAAAATGACAGATTCCAAAACAATTTGTTTTAAACAAAGCTTGAAATGTGAGTTGTCAAAATATATAATGATTTACTGGTTTAGAATAAAGTTGATTGCTTAAAAAAACGATTAATGCAATTTATGTGAAAAAAAACGAAATTACTTTCCGAACGACCAATACAATGATCGTTTTCTATTGTAAATATATTTTTCATACAAATTAAAAATTTATTAAAATATTATAATAATAATATTGTTTATATTATATATACAATGCAATGATGGTATTACGTCCTCATTCTGGTATCACTGGTTTTAATTATAAAACTTGTAAAAGGTAATTTCTTATTTTTCTGAAAGCACGTTCCACTTCTTTCTAAAAAGCATTACAATCAAAATGTCATTTTAAAAGAATAACTTATAATGTCTATAAAAATATTATCTTTATTTTATAAAATGCCTATTTTAAATGAGAATAAAAAATATTTTGCATTTTGCATTTTCAAATGAAAAGATTGCAACTTTTGCATGTTTTATGGGGTAAGATAAGAAGTTTAAATATTCATTTTTTGTACATCTTCCTTTAGTGGCTATCTTTTAAACAACTGTTTGGGACAAAATGCCACTAGCGGCTTTCTTTTATATCTTATATTTAAAGTTGCTAGATATCCTATTGTTTTTGGAATATCTTCTAACTATTATATGTTTTATCTGTTATCATATGTTTATATCTGTCTACCTTTGTTTTATTAAAAATCAAAGAACAATATTAATTGATCGATCTGCGACTGACACTCTGACAGAGCTGTATGTATAAAAACAGAACTCGGCCGTAGCTGAAAGGAGTTAATAAAAAAAAAAAAATATTATTTTTTAAAGTGTTAACAATGTTTTTTCCCGAGAGCAGAAAGATGAGAGAGAACGCATACAGATGCAGAAAACGATGGACAGTTTAGAGGACCTAGAGAGTCGTTTGGAAAGTTGGTTCACGGATATTGAAAACAAAGTTGCAGAGATAAATAGTCGCCCAGAAACTACATCAAATAATAACTTTACTGTCATTCTCAGTAAATTGGATAAGATCGAAAATAATTCGATGGAGGGGATTGTACGGCTTAAAGAGGCTCTGGATAGTAATGTGGCAAAAATGGATAGAGAATCAATGATTCTAATGGAAAAAGCGCATATGGCCTTCTTAGAGGTAATCTATTTAATTGCGAGAATATAACATTTCTTTTTTCTTCATATATATGTACATGGTTTGTCAGAAAAGTAGATTAAATATGTAGCGCAGAAAACAGCGATAGTAAAAGTTTATAATCACGCAGAATATAAAATGAGTACTTACTCATTTGTCTGTATAACAGAGTAGGACACAAAATTTTCTCCGAAGTACGATAGTACGTTTCCCGAAGATTTTTTCGCGCTGAACATGCAGCTGAATACGTAGTTTGAATTTACCTAGCACGTCAAGATTTAAAATAAATTATATAATAAACAAAAAATGGCATTTTTGATAATTTTTAACATTTTTTGCAACAAAAAGAAAACTAGTTTCTAAATAAACTTAATGGCATCTGAAAGTATAATTAAAAAACTTTTAAACAAATTTTGGTTCATAATAGTACGACTTTTTTCATCAAGTTATAAAAGCTTGTGTCATATAGCTGCAGGATGTAGCTGCTAGAATCAAAGACATTGAGAACTCTCTAGAGAAGTTAAAACAGCTGACGCAAAGCGTTCAAGAAAAACCATTGGAGCGGCAACTGGATTTGACTTCAACCTTTGACGAACACGTCAAGAAGTTAATACAAATGCAAGAATTAATAGAGAGCTCTTCTAACAAATTACACGAATTACCCAGGTAACTTTGTATCCAAGGCTCTCATGATTAAATTTGAATTAACATCCTTTATGAAAATATGAGAACATTAAATATTTTAATCTTTAAATATAGGATAAACGAAGTGCAGATGCTACATAACGAGACACAGGCCATGTTGCAGGAGACTAAACATGTGTTGAAGGATATTGTTACAAAAGGTATCAATAATATCGAAAACAGAATAACAGAGACGAAGGAAGAAACTAAAGATTCAGTAGCAGCATTACGGTAAATATTATTTGAGAAATCATAAACATTAAATATATATATTAGTGTCTTTTTCTCATCTTTTATTTCATATATATTAACCATTATTTATCTTTAAATAAATAAGAAAACAAATAAAAATCAAGATCAGAAAACCCTATTTAATGTTAAAGATGAGTCTAAATATATTGTATAATTTAAAAAAAATTTTATTAATAATTTTGATGCTATAGGATGGATTTGGCTAACAACGCAGAACGTGTTAACCAAGAATTACAAGACCTAGAAAAAGGTCAGTCTGTGATGGTTTCCATGGCTGATCATGTGTTAGATACGAAAAAAAGAGTGGAATATGGTGTACATCAGATCTTACTGGAAGTGAGCGATCTAGTAAAGGCACAAGGTGTCAATATCAACAGTACTCTTAGTCAAAGATTCGATGGAATCTCAAACGACATTATGGATAATCAAAACGGTGCCTTGGCAAACCTTACTAGCAAAATGGAACAAGAAATGAACAAAGTAAAATAATTTATCATTTGCTGATTGAGCTATAGCTGCCAGGATTTATCATTACTATCTATATATTATAGGTTTGGCGGCAGATCAATGTAATGTATCAACAGATGTCAGAGAGTGCTCGAGCTTTAGACAAACTGCATCAACAAAATGAAGCTTATGTTAACGGCACGACATCTACTATGGGTGGAATGAAGAGTAAGGTAACAATAAGCATATAATTGAATTAAAATGTATATACAGGATGTCCTATTTTAAATTTCACAATCAAATATTTCAATATCATGTTTAGAAAAAATGTTTCAAACAAAATTTGTATGATTTCAAAGGGAACATAAAATAGTGGCAAAGATTTGACCTTGGATAGGCGTTTAAAGGTCACATAAAGATCACTTTTAATTTTTTAAATAAAATCTACTATTTTTCATTGCATATTCTTGTAGCTTATCTCGAGAGCTTTCTGAAACACTATAATAAAGTATTTTGTCTTAAATACTTTTTGAGTTACAAGGCTTAAAATTAACAGTTTTTTAACATAAAATGTAAAACGTCTTGTAAAGTATTCAGTTTTCGATCATCTTTTATGTACGAAATAATGAGACCAATCAATTAATAAAGAAAACAGATAACTTTTTTAAAGAAAGTATGTGCAGAAATTTGCAACATGCAGCTGGAAACTTTTATTCCATGCATAAAAGTATTAAAGTAAGATTACCAAAAACTGCATGAATATTTTGCAAGATATTTTACACTTTATGTCAAAAAATTGTTAACTTCAAACCATATAACTCAAAAAATACTTAAGAGAAAAATATTATAAAGTTATAAAAATATTTATATCTTAAAATCATACAACTTTTGTTTCAACATTTTTTTCTAAAATTACGTATCGAAATATTTAACTGTAAAAATTAAAATGGGACACTCTATATAATAAAAATTAATTTAAAATTTCTCTAAAATAAGTCAGGAGCCCTTATATTAAATTATTACACATATATTCTGTATTTTACTTATATTTTCTACGTTGTTATAAAACTAATCATGAAACTCTAAACTCTACAGGTTGGCGAAATAACAAAACGTATGACGGAGGTGGATGAGAACTTAAACTATTTGCTCGGTCGTCTGTCTTTAGTGACGCAAGAATTCAATCAGATTAAGACAGGTTTAGGGAACGCATTAGACAATATAAAGGCTTCTTTCAAGGTGGTCCAAGAGAAGGCGTTGGATTTGACTCATCCGGGTCCTCATCCGCTTCCGGAAAATTACAAAAATCCAAATGATTCCAAGACCAGAAAACCAGACGGTAAGCCTCTATTGGACCTTGTAAGTCATATTTCCAACATACCCTCCAATTAACTACAAGATTTTCATTTATTTTACTTAAAAAATTTCTATTTAAAGTTTATTTGTTTGTTAAAACAATATAAAGTCTGTAAGAACAAAAAAAAATCTTGTAATATTTTTTAATATTAACAATAATCACTAAAACTTAAAAACTTAATAAAAATTTTGTTGCCGTTAATTCCTTTATTACGCAAACTGTTTGTTTTAGTTGTGAGCGTAAAGTAAGCCATATTTGACTCTCAGATCAACGGTTGGTTCGGACTAATCTCAACGGAAAAGATATCTTTTTCTTTAACTATAATAATTAACATCTAATACTATCATCAGTATCATTATTACAATTATTACAATTATGATTATCAGAAATGATTGTAAGATTCTATCATTTGAAAAACTTTTAAATGTATATTTATGTTATATTTTTTTACCTATCTTGGTTCAAAAATGAAAAATGCAAGTGAGAACAGAATATACATATAATTAACTATATCTAATTCATTATATAAATATAATATTACATAAGAAGTATAATTATAGCAAATTGCAGATGTTTTATGCACATTTTTATAGAAGGTGGACGCAAAGGCTTGCAATGTTTATTTTTTTTCATCAGAAAATTTAAAAATGCAGTTTGTTTTTTTTTTATAGAACATGCGTCCTTAGTAATTATTTTTTCACAAACTAATATAAATCTCTTTTATAGGAAGATAAAAAATATATTTTAGATAATTTTAAGTGTTAACAAAATTGTAGTTTACAGATTAGTTTCATTAAAATTAACCCAGTGAGAAATGATTGGTCGAATCGTCATCGATTCGACGAATTTGACATCGATTCGGGTTAATTTTACCTCATATTTTTAATATTAAAAAATGAAAAATTATATAACCTGATATTTTTGTTCAAAAATATATCATAAAGTTAATCTATAAAAACAGAACATCTCTAATCATGTTTCTTTCATATATAGGATGTTAAAAATCATTCAAGATTCATATGATAGTATAGACAATATGAGTAAAAAATGCTTACCAGAAACAGATCACAATTGTGTAGAATCTTAATTTTTCTTCAAATATATTAAACACATAAGTTAAACAAAAATTTAAGACATTTTTTATTTATGTGCGGAATTTGAAATTTAAGAAGTAAAACACCCCTTTGAAAAAAAACGGTTTTAAGAAAAAAATTGTATTTAAAAAAAATGTTTTTCTTTTATATATACACTTGTCAAAAAAATTATTGCAACACGCAATTAATATCAAAATTTCGCGTAAATTCAAATAAGCGTACCTCCGCGAAAAATTATCGTATTTAAAAAAAATTTTTGTTGTTTTGAAGGATAAAAACTCTACTTTAAGAAACTTTTGTTCGATTTTGATTTTATCTTCTCTCCCTCTCTCCACCCCGTTACAAAATAAGTTTTTCAAAAAATTGCAACATTTGACGAACTCTACGGGGTGAAATAATTTTTTTTTCGCAAATCTTATCAAAATTTTCGTAAAATATGGACTTTTTCCTACAAATTAAAAAAAAAGCAAAGTTCGTACGATTTTTTTCACAAAATTACGTCATCAAAGTTTCCCATAGATTTTTCCATTTGCCACCAGCATTAGCGATACTCGACGCGCACCAACGTTGATTGCGCGACAAATTGCTAATAATGATCTCCCTCACCGTGATCAAACAATTAGAAGACGTTTACGTGAACGTGGTTTAAGATCGCGAGTTCGACATTTTTCCAAATGCATGGATCATACATTTTTTCCATATTTTAGAAGAGGAAAATATCAAACTCGCGATTTTCAACCACGTTCACATAAACGTCTTCTAATTGTTTAATCACTGATTCTGTGAGGAACAACTTCATTAGCAATTTGTCTCATAATCATCGTTGGTGTGCGTCGTGTAATGCCAATGTTGGCGGCCAATAATTGCACAAAAATGCGTAGATAACTTTGAGAGTTCGTCAAATTTTGCAATTTTTTAAAGAAACACCTTACTTTTTAAAGGAGTGGAAAGAGGGGGAGAGGATAAAATCAAAATCGAACGAAAGTTCCTTAAAGTAGAGACTTCATCCTTTAAAACAAAAAATTTTTTTTCAAATACGATAATTTTTCACGGATACGCTTATTTGAATTTACGTGAAATTTTGATATTAATTTGCGTGTTGCAATAATTTTTTTGACGAGTGTATTGTATAGAGTCGAATATCGTTGAAACTATAAGAGACGGGAAAAATGTTAAACGAAAGTCTAATCGTTTGAAAAGTACTTTTACTTCAATGTAAAAGAAAGATTTTTTTTTCAAAAAACCTCACTACTCAATTTTTTCATTGAATTAAAAGTTTATTTTTTTTTCAAATTCAACTATATATATAAAATGATTTTTTTAAACACTTTGTATACTATATATTTTTAAAATATACAATGTATTTTCTGCACATATAAAAAACATCTGCAATCTAACAATTATTATTAGATGGACAATGGGATCTAATTAACTCATATCTCATAATCTCATATACACCCAGATAACCAGTGTGAACACAAGTTGCTTTCATGTCGCTAATAAATATCTTGTTAATATCTTGCTACGCATCTATATCGTGCATTTTATGTTATTTGCTAACATTCAATATCAGATATAAAACTTTTTGGCCGACAAGACAACACCTAGCAAGATCAGCACAGGTCAAATAAAAAAATAGAAGAAGAAATAAAACATTTGCACGTTTTAAACGTTATATTAGCATTACTGACACAATGATAGCAACGTGTTTACATCTGTTAATAAATTAAAAATATTATAGACAAAATGTTATGTTAAATATACTTAAACCACTCAAATATTTAATTCATATTCCTAGCAAAAAACCAGCATCAATTGCAAGCATTTTTTTATACGTTGCGTAAACATACTTGGTTATCTGGGCAGAAGAAAAGGAGGCTGGACACATTATTATCTATATATAGGGCAGCTTGTATTCGAATATTATATTTTCTATTGCCACTATTTATGAAAGATAAAATCTTTATGCGTACACAGAAAAAAATTGAAACGTGCCAAAAAAAAAAATAAATCTTATGAAAATGATATAAAAAAGCATGTTAAAACTTTACTGTTTTTATGCAGAGGTGTTATTAAATTTGATATATTTTTATAATGTACGTAAGGTTGTCATTGTAAAACTGCGATAAGCCAGCATACGTTTATTCATTTATGCATTTCACTTCTTTCTTCCTTTTATCATTTTCGCATGTATACTTATCTTTATACATACATGTATATCACATACACGCATGCACGCAGCAAGTACAGGCACACAGATATTAAATAATAAATGGTAATATTATTATATGTAACATGTGCCATGTTTGTGTTATAACAGTTCTTTATTTCTAAATGGTAGAAAATACTTTTATTTACGCAAGAGTGCAAAGAGGGACTGACGGAGTCTGCATGCGTTGCAATAATTAAATCCGTGTTAGCTGCACACAAGTCGAAGGCTACGCTTGGAGGTAAATCTCTCTCTCCCTCTCCCCCCCCCCTCTCTCTCGATTTCATTTTTTGCATACAAGTAATCATAATATTTTTATCATTTTTATAAGGCATTACAACCCAGGTAGCAAATGTACGTCATTTTGATGTCAATTGATGTCATTAAATGTCAAAGTTACATTATTTTGATGTCTAATAACGTCAGTTTGTTACTTGGAAAAGAACCTAAGAATCCCCCAAAAAATCCAAAAATTTAATAGTAAATATTAAAATTAAATACAAGTTTTAAAATAAAAAAGATGCGCACAATTGTTGCCCAAATCGACATTGAATTTTATTTTTACCTCAATAAATAGCGCGAAGTATTTTAATAATAAGACAAATAGTACAACTAATATGCTAAATATCATTTTATTGATTGTTATATGAATTGCAAGTGTCACAGCAGGCAAGTTCTCGTTAGGAAACTGAAACTCATGATTATGTAATTTAATATCTGTTGATATTGGAATTCTAAATAAGGCATTTTTGTGGAACGTTAACTCGATCCATCTAGAAATTTGCATATTCGTAATGTATTCATAAACTTTATTTTAAGATGAAATGTCTAATATAGATTTGAGAAAATTTTGAGCAACAGAACTAGGGGAGCACTTGTCCGCACTCTTTATACTTTTTTTTATAAAAATAGAGGAAAAATAAAAACGCAAAAAAATTTTGCAGAAAAATCTAAAAGAACTGAAAAACCGAAAAGTTAACACAATTTTATTGTTAATAAAATTAACTTAATATATATATATATATATATATATATAATTTTTTAAATAAAAATTATTCTAAAGATAAAATTTCCAAAAGAAGCCTAAATTAAACATGTTTAAAAGACCGAAGATATCGATATCGAAATTCACGTACATTTAGAACGAAAAAAAGGAGTAAATTCGAATCTTAAAAGACAGCAACTGGAGTTCCATGCACTCTTATACAGATCGCGTCAAGTATATAATAACATACCTTCTATCAGATCTCAACGCATCTTCGTTTTGAGCTCAGCAAACCGATATTATTTACAATATGCATGTGTACAGATTATAATGCTAATTGCCTCACTTTATAACCACAAATTGTGGTAGGTAGCGATTGACTGTCGAACCTAAAGTCGCACTTGTGAAGACACGTAAAATACCGCGGAGAAAGAGAGAATCGCTAAGATATATCACCTTTGTGCATGTGAATTTCTCTCGTATCTCCCGTGTCCTCACTTTGGATATTTTTCGAAGGGGCAACACGTACGATGATCTCGACAGTGTACCACATTACATCACATTATATTATATTATATTATACTTTGAGCTCCAATGTTCTTTTTTAAGCTATGTGAACTGTAGATAGAGATATACTTTAAAGCATAGATCACGTAATGGACGACAACGCGTTTTTTTCCTTTCTGTATGCCTATGTACGTTGAGAATTAACGACTAAACGACAATACTTGCTCTGCCTGCCTGCCTATCTCTCCGTTTTGACGACACGCTGCAAGAAGCTCATATAGTAAGCATCGATTAATAACATTATGTATTAAACAACTTTGTTAGTTCATCACAAAGATTCCGTTCGGCTCTTTCGTGCCGATGATCTTTGGAATAGGAAAAAATGCAGATTTTTGTTTTATATTCAAAGATACAAAGAAGTTCTAAAGATTAAAGATGACTAAAATTTTTGCACATTTCCAAAGAATCAAAGACCAAAATGCAAAGAAATTTTTTCCAAAATTGATATCGCTGATCTCCACGATGAATCAACGTTACAATTCACTGCAGTGCTGCATACTTTAAAATGATGCTTCATGTATTTATAAATCTCAAAATTGAGTTTCTAATAAATAAGAGTCAATTACATCAACAGTCTTAACTAATTTTAACGTTTTTTTACTCCTACAAAATTAAAAAATTCAGTACAATAGTGATCTAACTTATTTTTTTTTTTAATTCTTCAAGATCAATCTTAATATAATTTTTTAATAAATAATAATTTAATAACTATTAATATATATATATATATATATATATATATATATATATATTACTATATACATATATATAATAAGTAATTCCTAACTTATATATACCTTTCTTTAAAATTTGAGGAAAGTCATTCTCAATATAATCTTCAAACTGTTGTTTCTTTATATTCATATTAAATATTATAACATTTAAGTAAACTTTTTTTGATTCATGGAAATAAATTAGTTATTTTTTAGTCACTTCAATTTTAAATAATATAAATTACTAAAATATGCAAAAACATTCTTTCCTAATTGTCCTGCATTCTAAAAAAATAAATAATTTATATCCACTCTACATATCCCTTTCAGTGAAATTAAACTTTATGACAACTAAATAAAATTTACAGTTATTTACTTAATCAATAAGAGAGTCTGTTTTTTCTCTCTTGCTCTTTTCCTCCTCTCTCTTTAATATTTCAGATATACGTTAATAGATATGCAATAATATGCTAAAAACTAATTTATTTCAAAACATAGTAAAAAATTTACATAATTTTTCGTTTTTAATGCACGTAATCTGGCAGAAGAAATATAAATTAGCAGTCTTAAGATTAGTTTTCCTATTATCTTAGAAAAAGAAATAAGTTGACTGAATTGAACTGCATTTTAATATGCAATTTTAATAATGCAGATAATAGTGGCAAATCAATTTAATTTTTTTATGATTAAACATTTTGATATTAAAGGATAGATTTAATTTTGTCTTATAAATAATTAAATTAAAAATACTTAAAATTTTTCGCAGTAAGAAGAATATATTTTATTGAAGAATGTCTTTAATACTTGTAAATTAAATAACATCCTAAAAGCATAAAATAATTTAATTTTACATAATTTGTAGTTTAATATTGGAAAACAATAGAATATTGAGTTTTTAACTTAACAGAGCAATATAGTTATTATAATACAAATACATGAAAGAAAGTGATGGACGTTGATGCAATTAACTGTTTAAATTAAATATATAATAACGTTGCTTCTCAATTACAGGATATTACAAAATTTAAGCATAAAAATCTTCAACAGAAAAGTTAGCGGTCAATTGAATAATGAAAGCACATGCTATCTTTTTAATTCCAAGCTTTTTCAATAGTTTTTTAAATATATAGATTTAAAATTTAGTTAAATCATATATATAAGCTGTGATTTAAAAATTTTCTTAATCTCTATTATGTACATAAGGGTTAGTACATAATCTTTTATGAAGCATGTCAACATCCTTATACAGTGATTGATCAAATTTTAAATTATTATATTAAAAATTATGCAGAATAAAAAATTGCATGCACTTTTATTATTTCGTCTCTCACAAAACTGCAATGTTTTTATGCTCAAATTTTGACATTCATTATATGCTATAAAGATACGATTTCATAGTATCGCTTGTCGCAGCAATGGGTGGTCACGTAATTGATTTTATTGCTATTTTGTTGTTAAAAAGTTGAACTGGATCCAATTTTTAACGATATCGCTGTCATACAATAAATTGTGAAAATAAGTGTGTAAACATAGAATTGCAAGATGTAAGTACAATAAATAAATAAATAAATAAATAAATAAATAAAAACATATATACAGATTTCTTATACATATACTAATTTAGATCAAATACTAATAATATATATAATTAAATGTGAGCGACGAGCGACAACATGAATACGTATCTTAATTCACATAGAAAATGTAATTGCGCTATGTGCCCATGATATAACATACCTTATGATTCTAGCAGCAACGCGCACAATGGCAGAGAATCGTTACTCTTTTCCCTATATACATATACACACTTCTAATGTATAGAAACATCGTTCGCGAACAATTTAGCTCGTTTCTAAAGCGACGAGTCAGAAAGTTCGCAACAAAATTGTAAATTCATTGCCTTAGTCTCTCTCACCCTTGTTACCCTCTTTTATATTATCCCTCTTTCCGTTTCTCGTTTTGGGACAGCTTAAAGATAGCAGAGTGTAAAAAAGGATGCAAGTTCTTGCATAGTTGCTTGTATTCGTTAACTTCATTTATACAAAAGGGTCTCCTAAATAAAACTACGTAAATTCGGAGTACTGGACGCGTTATCGGAATGCATAGATTCGTTCTTTCCTGACTTTTTCTTTTCAATTGCTTTCTTCAAAACGTATCTCTCCCTTCTTTTACTGTCTTCTTTTTTCAATAGCGAGGCGGAAGAGTGCTGGATACTCGCATTTAATTCGTTTTGTTTATAAAAGACGCGTACAATGCGCGCATACGCAGTGGCAGTTTTTATTCATTTCTTTCTCTAGCCTTTTGTGTTCCTTTTCGCGTCTTTATTATTATTATTATTATTATTATTAATTATTATTATTATTGTATTATTATTATTATTATTATTATTATTATTTATTATTTATTATTATTATTATTATTATTATTATTATTGAATATCGCAAATGTATATCACATGATAAATGCAAGTTAAAAAACCAAAATGAGAAGCATTTTATATTCTTATAAAGATTAATCTTCACAAAACAAGTTGCAGAAATTTTGAAACTTCTAAGCCTTTAAAGTCCAATATTTTTGGAACCAAATGAATTTTCAACAATCTTGGTTTTTTATATTCTCGAATATATATATATATATATATATATATATATATATATATATAATATATATATATCAGATTAGATCTTTTAATTCAATTTTAATGCAATTTTTTGCAAGCAAAAAGTTTCCTTACAATGTTGCTTTTCAACGAGCAAATTACATTGACACGCGAACTCAAAAGCGCTTATCGTATCTCATTATTCAATTTCTCTGGTCTAAAGAACTCTCGCAATAGCTCTAAAGAGACTCATCGCCACTCGAACAAAACAAATGATATCCTTGAAGAATGACATCAGAAATGTGAACAAAACCTTAAAACACCATACACTCACGCTGAAGTCATCATAAACAGTGCGCGGATTCAGTATCGATTTGTCCACGATCGACGCGGATGGATAAATTTGCGAGGTATCCGACTCATTCTTCCTCAATAGATTGTACTTTTATAAGTCGACTAGCGGTTATAGTGGCTGCTAGCTTGATTCACTCGAGGTGGACACGCGCAGCTGACGCTTGCCGCGCCTTTGGGGGTGCGAGTGGTCCTAGCTGCTGGTAGAGGCAATAGGGCTGACCGGGCTGAGAGGGCTACGCGCAGAGTCCCTTAGAACACCAGTTAGCGTCACCACGAGCTTGCGACTGCCAGCATGATCGCGGTGTTCGCCTAACCAGATGCCCTGCCATGTGCCTAGGGCCAATTTACCGTCTGTGATTGGGATACTCAGTGACGAGCCCAAAAAACAAGCCTTTACATGTGCCGGCTATAAAACATTAAAAATAGTTAATTAATTAGTTAGTTACTTGTCTTTATTAATTTCCCAACGGATTACAATAACTTCCATTTTCATAGATTAAACATCTTATTATATATGTACATGATATCCTATTTTATTTTTGACAGTCAAATATCTCGATATCATGTAATTTTAGAAAAAATGTTTCAAATGAAAATTATATGGTTTCAAGGAAGACATAAACAGTGACAATGATTTGATCTTGGCTAGTTGTTTGAAGATCATAAAAGGTCACTTTTAATTTCTTAAAAGGAACCATCCTTTTTTTTTAATAAATCGATTCTTTATAATATTCTACATAAGTTAGAAGGTAAGATGGCAAAAAAGTGAATAGTTTACGAAATATTTTACTTTAGTTTAATATAAACTTACATAAACTATGAAATATTTATTTTCCGATAATCTTACTTCAATACTTTTTTATAAAAGTAAATTTGTATTTCATGAAAAATACTACTGTTCAACAAAAAAAATTAAGCAAAACTGAGATTAGTTGTTTCTTATAATTTTTTGGATACTGAATATGAATCTGATTTCCAAATTGTTCCATCATATTATCACAATTTTGTGAAATTTTAACTAAAGTTGCAAAAAAGAACTATTTTCATAAACTTTGTTATATTATGGCTACATTATGTGGCATGCTAAAGAAGTTTTATTGCAATGAAAATAAAGTATATTGTTAGGACTTTCAATGCACAAAAGGAGTTTCTAATGTCGATTATGGTCAATAAGATGGCTAAATGGGATGTATTGCGAAAGTTAGCTTTAGGCCATTGACGATTTACTAAATATACTTCAATTATGTTTAACTTAAAGGTTTAACTTAAAGGTCTTTAGATCACTAAATACGAATCCAACGTCAAAATTGTCAAATTCAAAATGGTCAATATGATAGACTTATAAAAAAAAATACATTTTTTTAAATTTTGGCATTTCCCAGAGTATTGAATACCATTTTAAATTTAATAATTCTGATATTGAATTCGTATTCAATAACCTAAAAAATCCTTAAATTTAAATAAACAAAAACCATTTAGTTAGGCCATCAATGACCTAATTGTAAGTCATATCTAACTTCCATAATACAGTTCATATTTAACCATGGATTTCTTATTAACCTTAAAAATTCCTTTTGAAGATTGTAAGTTCTAAACACATACTTTATTTTGATTGCAATAAAACGTCTCCAGCATCTCACATATTGCAGCTATAATATGACAAAGTTTGTGAAAATAACCCTTTTTTTGCAACTATAATTGCAAATTTCTTATAATTGTAACGCGGTGGAGAAATTTGGAAACTAGATTCTTCAGCATCTAAAAAACTATAAGAAACTAGTCGTGTTCTTATATTCGAAAGTCATTTTTTTAACAGTGTAATTATAGAGATCTATTAAATTCTATGCAATTTTGATATTAGATCAATTTATTTAGTTTGTTAAATCAAAATACATCAAACTTTGATATTATTAAAAATCAATATAAAGTACTTATTCTTTATAGAGAGAATAACATAAAGAGAATAATAAAAAGTAAAGCATCTTTAGAAAAGAAATATCTTAAGAAATTCTGAATTTACCATATCATCAGGCCCTTCACAGCTATGTCTGTATTCCAAGCCTTCAGGAACTATTTTATTAAGCATCATTTCCATATCATCTCTCACATCTGGATCCCAGCTCTCATTTAACGCTAAACTAGCCGAAGTGTGAAGAACTATAGAAAAAGTATTGTAACATTTATTGCTCCATTGATAAAAAAACACACACAAACATATATATATATATATATATGTGTGTGTATATGTATACTGCCGGCTGAAAGTTTGGATACATTATTAACAGGACTAATATTTTAAAAAAAATTTACTTTAATTGGTGTAGTTCATAGTTACATTGAAAAAATGATTTTTTATATTTATTTTTTAAGCTAGGTCTACAATGAGTCGTATGTCGCAGTCGGATGTCGGAACGTAAGCGATGGTCCAATGAGGAAATTTTGTTTTAGAAAAAGAAATTTTCTCATTGGACCATTGCTTACGTTCCGACATCCGACTGCGACATACGACTCATTGTAGACCCGGCTTTATGTTTATTTTTATATTTATTTTTTAAGTTTATTTTTATAATATTTATTAATCATTTAACAAATAATTATTATTTTATAATAACATCTATAGAAAATATAAGTAAAATAACATTAACTTTGATCTAACATACTTTTAACAAAAAACTGTTAAATTTTCTTTCTATCAAAATACATATCTTTGATTTTAATGATTATTTTCACAAATTATAGCATTCTTTCTACTAATTTATTATGTAAATATGTATCCTATCTACCCATTTTTGTGAGCGCAGAAGTAAATATTTGCATTACATGCACTCTTGTGACATTTTCTATGAATTCTTTTATTAGAGATCAGAAAGGTTTAAATATTTAATATAGGAGACTTAGAGACTATGATTAGATTAATTGATTCATAACAAAAAAGCTTCCTGGCAAGTAAGTAGATCTTGTTAAATACAAATTATATAGAGGTATATAGACAAGTGTATCCAAAATTTAGCTGGTAGTATATATATATATATATATATATATATATATATATATATATATATATATATATATATATATATATATATATATTACATATATATGTTGCAATTATAAAGTGTAAATTGAACAAACTCTAAATACTAGCCTGTCAATTTCTAATCACTTAAGAAAATACATGACAGGCACAATTAGAACGTTAGTGATAGATTAGTTCACTCACTTTGAATATGGCAGAGACCAATGGAAAACTGACAGAGCTCAGGGACCTGCCTGAGGATTTCCTCGGTAACAAGGTGAACGCCCCGATGCTGCGGTCTGAGATTTATTTTGGTCTGGAACCAGCCGGAGCCGATTTGGATACCGCGGTTAGAGGAGGCCATGGCACACAATTAAACGATGATGCACAGACAAGAAGGGAGAGATATATATATGTATATACATATATATATTTATATATATATATATATATAAAGGAAGAAACCTAAAGGTTTCCCCTAACACTTGATTTTTAATTACGCGGTGAATTATTCCAAGCGGTCGATATGGGATTCCATTTTCCCTCTTGATGTTTATAGATAATCTATCGCGCCCCAATTTCTGTCGAGCGCTTGTTCGAGCCACGAAGGGTTAGGTTAAGTTAGATTAGGTTAGAAGAAAAATAGACAGAGAAAAAAGATAGTGTGAGCGAGAGAGAATGAGGAGAAAATGGGAAAGAGAGGTAAGGAGGAATCCAATGTATAGCGCGATGTGCACGACGAACACACGCAACGGCATTCACGCACTCAACAGCAGTAGCAGACACGCGTATATACGTACGAATCTGTCATTGCGATCTGTCACTTGCTCACCCACCTACCTATGTATATATTGACACGCGGCGGTTAAAGATAGTGACAAATGATCGGATCGCAAGCTCGTAATGGAATATCACGGGACCACGTGAATAAAGATATTTGAAAACGACCGGACGGCATACGCGTGGGACGCGACCGCGTGTGCCGTGCCTGCCGTGCACTTAAGCCCTTGGCGTACAAACGCAAATGGCGGCACTGCATACGGCATTATACCCCGCGCATGGCCGCATGGGCGTACATACATATATTTTTTTCACAAGCAACGTTCAGGCTGTTACAGTCCATAGCCGTATAAAATACATAGATAGTGCATTAACTGTCGATAAAAAGAATATATATATATATATTATAGGGTGTCCCATAATTCGCGAATCACCTTTCATGGGCAGATAGAGCGTGTTAAACTGAATAGAAAATTTATGTATCATTTTGCGATATTCACAATAATTATTGAGTTATTTATTAAAATATCTAAACGATTAAGCAGGTAGAAGCATTATTTGATCGAGAGGCGGCGTCATGCAGCGAGCGGCGACCAATGTAGTGACGCCGAAAAGTAAGATGATACTTTTGATACTAAAGCGGGGAGCACACACTCTTGCATAAGCGCATAAGCATATGCATTAGAAATTTGATTGGTTGAATTTCTTATGCATACGTTTATAGACTAATCAAGAGTCTCATGTTTACGGTTATGCGCCTATGCAAAAGTGTGTGTTTCCCGCTTAAGGGTCGACAGGTCGGCCGGCCAAACTCCGAATTGATGTTGGAGACCTCGCGCGGTGACAACGCGAAACTCCGATTTCAGTGTTGCCAACGCCGAGAAACCAATTCTCGGGTTTTATGTAGTGGTGCATGTCTGTACACGTACATACACTATTGCATTGCTCACGCGGACGCACCGTAGAGAGACAAGGACCGATAATTACGTGTTCTCCTTGTTCCTCTATCGTACCGGTATTCGCGAGATACGGCCTGAAAATGCTTTCTGGCCTTCCGTAGCAGAAGGCAGTAGCGTAGCAAGGCTAATAAGTACCTACTTTTTGTAAATTTTATATATGCTTATGCACATATGTGCGTATATATATATATATATATATATATATATATATATTATATAAGGGATATGTTGATTATTCTTGATTTCTTTTTGATTATTGATGCTATTGTATCATTTGCTCCAAATACTTATAACGTGAAAGAACGTTGAGTAATGTATAATCAATGCAAGGATGTTCAGTATATCATCCAGTAAATTAGAGTTCAAATATTTCAATATCAATTTTTTTATAATATATATATATATATATTAAAATATAGAAAAATGATAAAAAAATATATTTCAGCGATTTAAAAATTTTTTAATATATTGAAAATATTTTTACTACATACACTATATATATAAGTGTAAAATAATTCAGAAAATAAATTTAAAAATAAATTTAATAAAAATCTACATACCAGCTGTGTGCATGTGTGCAATTGATTTATTACTTGAAATTTATTTACGGAATTATTTTGCATTTATATATTTATAGTGTGTGTAGTTGTAAAATATGATTAAAATATTTTCAATATCAAATTTTTAAGTTTATCGCCTATATACAAATATATTTCTATGATTTTTCATATTCCAATATATTATAAAAAATTGATATTGATATATTTGAACTCAAGTTTTTTACGTGATTAAATATTCTTGCATTGAGCCATCATACGTTACTCGTAAGTTCTTTCACGTCATAAGTTATTATGTAGCAGAGAGAAAGAAATGAGAGTTATACAATGTAACATCAATAATCGGAAAAAATCAAGATAACGGTTGTCATATCTGTGTATATATATATATATATATAACTTATATATTATATATATATAATATTTCATTTATTTATAAAATACATTTTCAATTCATATTCAACCTGAATGATATTTTCTATATGCTTATGCTATCCTCCGATCTATCCCTAACAAATTAGGAAGTGTAATTGCATTATTATCATTAATTATTATCTTATACTTTTTACCTCTAATTTCTATAAAATTTAATTCATTATCACATTTTATCCTTTAAATCAATATTTATTTTGAATTTTCATTAATATTTTTATTCTATTAACATGAGCAGGAGCTCAACCTATTGAAATACCTTTTATCATTATTAGACAAATTTTATCATTATGTTACTTTCTTTATTTTATCTTATTACCTTTCCTAATAAAAATTTGAGATTTAATTATTTTTAAATAAATATTAAAAAATTTATCATTATAAATAAATTTAAAATATTAAAAATAATTATATTTAATACTTAAATTTTTTATAAATTACTATTAAATTAAGGTAATGATCTTGAATTTAAGTTTATGTTTTGAAAACATATTAAAGAAATTTTAATTTTTTATTAACTTTTAAACATTTAATTTTTTTTACTAAATTATTATTTATAATATAAATTTAAATCCAAAAATTAATAAAATATAAACTAAAATTATTGGTAAAATAATTTTCCAACATAAATATATTAATTCATCATATCGTATTCGAGGAAGTATTCCATGTATAAAAATTACTATTCTACATAAAATATTAATTAAAATAAAAGTTAAAATTATTGAATATTTTAATAAATTTCTAAATATATAAATTCTAATTAATCTAAAAAAATAATTATTCGATATTCAGATAAAAAAATTAATGTAAACCCACCCCTAAAATATTCAATATTAAACCCTGAAACTAATTCTGACTCACCTTCGATAAAATCTATAGGACTTCGATTTAATTCAGCTAAAATCCTAATAAAAAATATAATAAACAAAGGATATAAAACTACTATATATCATAAATAAAATTGATAATTAATAAAATCAAAAAAAGAATATCTCTCTCTTATTAATATAATAACTAAAACAATTAAAATAAATCTTACTTTAAATGATAATATTTGTGAAACTGATCGTATTGCCCCTATTTTTGAATAAATCGAATTAGCTGATCATCCCATAAAAATTATAACATACCCTCTAATAGTTATAAAACAATTATTAATAAAATAGAATAATTTAAAAAATAAATATTAGTAATGTAAGGAAATACTAATCATATTATTATTAAAACAAATCTAATTATAGGACATAAAAAAATTATAATTAGATTTATATACATAAAATAATTCTTTATTAAGTAATTTAATAGCATCACTAAAAGATTGAAATAATCTTATAAATCCCACTTTATTAGGTTTTTTACGAATTTGTACATATCTTAAAATTTTTTGTTCCAATAAAGTTAAAAAAGCTACCCCAACTAATATAATTAATAACAAAATTAACAATCTTAATATATTTAACGCACTATAAAAATATAATCTTAAATTTTGACAAATTATTACTTGTATAATTTTTTTCTATTATACATCATTTAAATTCTAAATTTAATACACTTAAATTCTGCCAAAGTAATTTTATTTATTTACATATATTTAATCAATTAAATTTATTCATTAAAAAAAATATAATTTGAAAAAAGTCCTTTCGTACAAAATTTTCTTAATTTTATTATAGATAGAAACCGATCTGGCTTACACCGATCTGAACTCAAATCATGTAAAATTTTATTAGTCGAACAGACTAAAATATTAAACTTCTTCATTTAATTTTTATTTTAATTCAACATCAAGGTCGCAATCATTTTTATTAATATAATCTTTCTAAAAATATTACGCTGTTATCCCTAAGGTAATTAATTTTTATAATAATTATTATAAAAAAAAAAAAATTTCTTAATTTAATAATCAATCCTTTATAAAAATTTCATTAATTAATGTTAAAATTATCTTTAAATTAAAGTTTATTTTATTTAATTATCCTCCCAATAAAATATAATCATTAAAATAAAATTTATTTCCTTAAATAAATTTAAAAATTATATTAAATTCAATAGGGTTTTCTCATCCCATAATTTCTTTTAAGAATTTTAACTTAAAATTTAAATTTTAAATCTACAAATTGAAACAGCTTTAATTTCATCAATTCCTTCATTCCAGTTTTCATTTAAAAAACAATTGATTATGCTACCTTTGCACAGTCAATATACTGCGGCTATTTAAAAATCACTGAGCAGAAATAATTTTAAATTATCAAAAAACCATGTTTTTGTTAAACAAGTAAATTAAAATTTTAATTTAATAAAATAAATTTGCCTAATTCTTTAATTATATATACATATATATTTTAAATTTAAAAATTTCTATATAATTAATATAAATATACTTATACTATCATTATTTATTAAAATACTTAATTTATTTAAAATATTTTTTTATTTAATTAAATCAAATTTTCAAATTATTATTATATTTAAATTAGAATAATCCATTCCATAATAAATTATTAAATTTTTATAAAAAATTTTTAAAAATAAAAATATTTTTCTATTTAAATCATTTATATTCATAAAAATTTTAATTATAATTTATAGTTAATCCCATAAATTTTTTACATAAATTTACTAATTAAATTTTATTATTAATTTAATTAATTGTAAATGATTTATATATAAATTAAATTTATATAAAAAAAACTAGATATCATAAAAGTGGATTAAAATATCTTTTTCAAATAAATATTTAAAATAATTTTTATACATTAACTTTAATATTTTATTTAACTCATTTTATTCCGAGAAATTTAAATTATTCCAATAAACAACAAAATTTAATAATCCCTGATACAAAAGGTACAATTAATAAAATTTACTTTTATTTAATTAATTAATTTATTTTAAATTTTCATTTACATTACTTATATCTATAATATTTATTTAATTTTTTTAATACTTCAACAATTCAAAAACTAACTCTATTTAATTTTTTATTATAATTTTATTTAATTAAAATAATCACACACACAAATCATATTAAATTTTTCATAAATATTTAAATTTAATTTTTTTTTAATTTTAATAAATCATATTAAATCATTAATCTTTTCAATGTAAATAAAATATTTTTAAATAAACTAAATTTTTTTTTATTTTAAATACATTTTCCAATATATTTACTTTGTTACGACTTTTCTTACAAATCATAATTAATAAGAACGGCAGGCAATTTGTACATAATTTAAATATAATTCAACTTATAAATTTTATAAATTTACATTTAAATCCTTTTTAAATAATAAATTTAAATATAATTTACAAAAAAAATATTT